ATTGCCCCCGTAGCTGCGCTCGGTTGAGCCAACATGGCCAGGGCTATAGAGCATATGTTGGCAACGATCTGCCCCTCTGGTTCTCTCATGGTCTCCGTTATTTCTTGTATCAGCTGTATCTGTGCTGTGGCTGCTGCCAGGGCTCCCCTCAGACTGGCTATCGTGCTGGTGGCGGCAGGTGGTGCTTCGGAGCTGCTTGTTGCTGTCGTGTGGTTGGGCTTGCTCTTTCTGCGCCTCCTTCTTCCCCCTCCTACTGGGGTCCTTCTGCGCCGTCTGACCAGCCCGAAGTTCTCCTCGTCCGTTGCCGTTCCGTTGAGGTAGTTTTCTTCTTCCTCCGGGTGGCTGCAGTCTTGTGGTGTTGTAGTGGTATACGTGCTTGTGGTGCTGGAGGTCGTGGTGGCCGCAGGTGGCAGTTGCCACAGTTCGGTGTGGTCGTGGTCCGGTGGGGTTTGTCTGTGGCTGTGGCTGTTCCTGGGCTGTTGTGAGTCTCCTCTGCCGATCTGCCTTCCGTCACGAACTGTGGTGTAGAAGTGGGGTTGCGGTTGTTGTGGCGGTTGTTGTGGTTGTGGTGGTTCTTGTGGTTGCTGGTTGCGCGCCGCCTCCCTGCTTTGGCGTTGAGGCTCTGGCTGCTGCCCCCGCAAAGGCCGACTGTCCCTGAAGTCGGGTGCGCGCTGCTGTGGCTGATGCTGGTGTGGTTGTTGTGGTTGTGGCTGCCTGTCTGCATTCCCCTCCTGCCTTGGCTGTGGGTGTGGTTGTGTGGCTGCTGCGCTGCTGCTGCTGGCCGCCCCTGTTTCCCCCCCTTGTGGCTCTGCGGTGGCTGTGGGTCGGTATGGTTTGCCAGGGTTTGTCGAGTCCCCCACTGCGCGTCCTTGGCCTTCGCGGGCGGGCTGGTACTTCTTCTTGGGCGGTCCGTGGCGTGGTCCCCCCGCAGGTCTGAGCATCCAGGTGCCTTGGATCTCTTCTGCAAAGTACGCCTTCCCCACCTCTGTTGCGAGTGTGCCTCCCTCCTGTCGGTGCTCAGCGGGGAGTGCTATAACTGTGAGCATGTACACCAGACCGACTGTCGTCTCGTTTCCTGCCCTGTTTCCAGCAGGCCGCGTTGTGGCACCCCCTTTTCCCCCCTATTGCTTGGTGCGGAGGGGGCCCCTGGTGGGGCTTCCACTCTGGCAACCCACTTGCCTTTCCCCACCGACACGTAAAGGACTTGCGTCCGGCTGCTGTGCGGTAGCTGTGGCGGTCCTCTCCTCTTGATGTGGCTTTCTTGGTTTGCTTGTGCATGCCTATCCTGGAAGTAGGCTTCCGGCTCCCCCATAGGGGTGGCGTTGCGTTGTTCCCCCCATTCGCTTTCGGGGTGCTCGTGTGTTGCTGCTGGTCTGGTTGGCGATCTCCCCCTGTCTGCTTGCGTCCCCTCTCTTTGCTGCAGGTATGGGTTCTGCTGTCGTCTTGCAATGTGATCGGCAGCGGCTTGTGTGCTGGCTTTGTCTGTGTTCTCCTGGGGTGGCTGTTGCGTTCCTCCCGCTCTTGGTGCTGCTGGCTGACCGTTGTCTGCCGCGCTTCTTCTGTCGTGTGCTTCTTTTGCGGCTGTGGCTTGCTTGCTCGTGGTCCAGCTTTCGTAGTAGCTGTAAGCTGGAGTGGGTGGTTGTTGTTGTGGTTGCGTTGCGTGGTCGGTGTTGCTGGTGTGGGCCAGGGGCGGAGGTGGCGATTGAGCAGGTCCGCCCAGTCAGTTTGACCTGCGGTCTGGGTTGCAGGTCGCTGTGCTGCTCGGTGCCGTGTGTTGTTTGTTGGTTGTCGCTGTGGTTGTCGGCTGGACCTTGTGCCCCGTCGGTCCGTGTGGTTGCTGCTCCACCCCCACGTGTAGTGGTTCCTGCGGAGACAAGCTTTGAGTTGTGCTTTACCGCTGTGTCTCTCTCTCTCTCTCTCTCTCTCTCTTTCTCTCTCTCTCTCGCTCTCCACTATATGACTGACTTGACTTATCTTTGCTCGATTCTTTGCGTGCATGTGCGGGGTGGAAGATTCTGGGCATCTGTGCCCCTTTCCCCCTGCAAGCTGACGCATCTGAGCGCGGGTGAAATTCTCTTCCTGTCTGGCTTTTCTTCCAGGCCCCAGGCCCGCCGTCCTTCCCGGGGCAGAGAAGCGTTGGTTCGCGCTCTCTGTCGGTCTTGTCGCCATGCAGTCAGGGCCTACGTAGAACTACGATACTGCGCGGCACCTCGAATCAGTAAACCGCAAAAGCTGAAGTTCGAAAGAATCATGAACCCTGACACTCTTCAGCCCTAGACCAACCCTATCAAGCAGTTTTCATTCGCATGGCCTTTAATGCCACGCAATAACCCAGTCTGCAAGCCTCCTCGTCAGAATCGATCGTCTCGTCAATGGTTGAGGAAAAATCCCGAAAATGCAAACCTTCGACGTGAATCCCGAGACCGGATGGGGCCTATCTTGAAAAGCTTGCTTTAGCCCAGGTACACAGGATTCTTGTGATCCTGATGAAACCGCGAGGCGCCGTAGTTGGACAATGCACGCTGCTCCGTGCCCAAGACCTGACCAAGAGCAGGCTGGCGACAGATAAGTCTCCTGCCAAACTTTCTGACTAGACTATCGCTACGCTACACCATTCGTCTGTACCGTCCGTTTGCCCGCATCCCATGGCTACATTGCAGTACGAGTTGGTTGGAACATGTGCGGTCATGAGAAGCCTGCAGTGTCTTTGGTAGTTCTGATAATTTACCCAGCCAGCGAAAACCAGAACATGCTTCCAGTCCATTTTCCGGCTAGCTTTTGCAACACATTCCAGTGGTCAAGGATTGATCACTCCAGTGTTCAACTCCTTTCATTGCATCGGTGCTTCGTTTTTCTGCACCTCTACTATATTGAAAGCTGTGGTTTGAGGCTGAAACCATACCGGCGCCGAAGCCGCTCGGAAACTACATACCGCTGAGGAAGTTCGTCGAACACGAGAACTAATGGATACAACACCAGTTAGATGACTGGAAATAGACAACTCCTCGAGGCCCAGCATGCCTGGCCCTTGAGAAGCCAGGAGGACTGGTTGAAGGAGGCAGCCATGCCCATCGGTCCAGCCTTAGCTCATGTCTGTGACGGCTATGCCTTCGTACTACACAACGACTATTGGTATCGGTGTACATTGCACTGTATCCGAACGATGAACCATACCACGCTACTGTCGTCGACTGTGGTTGTTGCCAGCTTTTTTGCCGGCACTTGTACTAGTACCGTTGTGCGCTGTCTTGGTGAATACGATTCTCGCTATGTTCTAGCGGAGGCCATGTTTGCCACACTGGGGTGCAGAGCAGTTTGCAATCCTCAGAATCCCGGCAGTCAGCTTCCCTGCCATGCAAACTGACATGAAGACCATAATTCTGGCCTTGCGCCTTGCGAGATGCAGTGTTGCGGCTGGTATCCAGAGCTGAATTTCAACTCAAACTTTGCAGACAAGTTCAAGAAGCTTCTCAGATACAGTACATACCGCATCCAGTACCTTGTATGTCCGAAACATGCATGTGGTGGCTGGAAGTGGCGCACCACCTCTCTGAATATTTCTGTCTGTGAATTCGGTTACGTTAAGCAAGCCGGCCATGCGCAACGGCCAGCGGCAAGCTCGCTTCGGCCAGTGCCGAAGAGCTACGGCTCGTTGCTACGGATACAATGATAGATAAGCTATGCCGCTGAGTCTGACTGTCAAAACATGAAGACCCCCAGCCGCTGGCCAAGGAACGAAATTTGTCACGCAGTGATCTTGAGCCGGACATGCTGCATCGACGCCTGAACAGAGGTTCGGTTCATGTCACGCTGCTTACAGCTCTAATAAGTGTCCCGGTCCTGTGTTGGACTCGACCAGCCAGAGCCAAGGAGGAAGGCCAATCTCATCCTTGCCGCTTGTGAAGGTGGTGCATGTTCCTGCCAAAAGGGGGATTCGAGCGAAGATCCGGAGCTACGAAGGCTGCGGCAAGCTCTTATTACCCCGACTCCCGGCAGTCAGCTAGGACTCACTGAACTTCATTGGGGGCCTTCAGGGGTCGGGGATAGCAGTCTTCGCCCTTAGTCGCGAAGGCTCCTCCAAGCTTCTGATCTGGCGTGATCTGGCGGATTTTGTCATTCCGGTCCAGGCGCGACATCAAATCATCCAAACCTCATGCCAGGATGTGCTACACTGCTACACAGCGATGCATCGGCAAAGTCCATGCTCTTTTGCCTCCCCTGCCGTATCTCTGCTGCCGAAAAGCGCTCCTGAATGGAGAGCTTTGTGTTGCAGTATGGCAGAGACAATGCCTTGCGATGCTCAAAGCTGCGTCTCGCTGACATAAAGTAGAGCAGCATGCGCACAGTTACTCCCTCCCTCCGACAAGTACTGCGACATGTTTTGCTTCACGGTGGCTTCTTGAAAGCAGGGTCGAGCATTGAGATTTGGTCATGCGAATCAATCTCAGGTTGGTATTCCATTCAGAATGCGGGCTCGCTGTTGGATGGTTTCCAAGGCCCAGCTGTGAAAGTTCCTTCTCCATGTCTCACTAGCTCCAGCCTTTGGGTCCACGCAGCCATGCCAGTTGGGCGTGGGCCAGTCGGCCGAGGCCAAGGTGGCTAAAGAGATCGCTCCTAAGACGAAGGGCAAACAAGCAGCTTAGAGCTTGCAGAGCACGCACCAGACCTCCCCCAGCCCGCGCAGTTCAGAGACTGACTGCGCATGCCCAAGTCTATTCGCTAGCAGGCTCCATCTCTTTCTGCGGACGGCTCAGGCAGACTTCAATCTCAGGCCTCAAGGTTCAGGCGAGAGTCCGAAGCTTCGGAACATGGCAGGCAGCGTCTATGCCGGCACCAAAGAGCAACAAAATCTGCGGCATGCATTTGTTACAACAACAGCAAGATGGTCCCCGAATTGTTAAATCTCATACAAGGCTACGCATCGCTCTTAATACAGGAAAGTATGGCTGCTACTCAATGCTCGAGCTTTGCGGAGCAAAATCCAGTGCAGCCGTTGCGTCGATGGCGGGCTGGGGTGCACCAGGGGCACGCGTTGGCGTGGCCACCCGCTGCAGAAAAGAACCTCAGACAACCTGCTAGCCCACGCTTAAATATCTGCGACACTAAACCTTCCCCTACAAAACGCGCAAACAAGGGGACGTGAAGAGACTCCTAACTCTCGTCTGCAGTCCAGCCACCGGTGGAGATGCCAGCGAGCTGATCCACTGAAAACCTTGATACAAGCAAGTTGGACAGCTGGGGGCTGTGCTGGCCTTATGGCTTCAACAGGTTTTGTACGCTGAACGGAACCCATCGTCGAAGCATAAAAGACTTCGAGCAATGCAGCGTAGTCCAGCAAGGCAACCGGCCACATAACCAACAATCCCAAACTCTGCTGCGAACAAGTGTCACCAGGCGCTCGAAGTTGACATCAATGCCTCAACATTGAATGCCCTTCGGTGATGAGTGCAACCACCACTGTTGCTGCCATTCTGGCAGGGACAAGAGCAAGAACGAGAACGACGTACCGTGCGGCAACTGCAAACTTGAAACTCTCCGACTCCTTGCAAGGGTATCTACTGTTCCTACTTCTCCTGCTGATAACTGGTGCTTCTCTACCGAGTGTTGTACGAGCGTCTTACATCTTTTTCTGTGTACCCTACAAGCCCTCGCTCCTGAAGATGAGACCCTCGCGAATGCTGCTGATACCATTGCTGCAGACGCTGCTGAACTGACAATTGCCGCTGCCACCACTGCAACAACAAGATCTGCTTCACTGCTCCGCTTTCTACTGCGATGATCATACTATCGCCGCCGCTCCTTCTCCTGCTGTATACGAGCACGATGACAATGACGACGGCCGTTACCACCACCTAAAGACACCAGCGCCCTTCACCTCTCCCTTTTCTATCTGCTTCCCCGTCCCCAACACGACCTCGACACGCGAATACTGTTGGCTACTGCTTTGCAGCTGCCGCCCAAGTGCGACAGTCCCGTGGAAGAGTGCGCGGATTCGTGTGCTAATCCAAGGCACGGTTCCCACAAGTGTTCACCACGCCAGCTGCATTCACAGATCGCAACGGAGCTGCAGCAAAAGTGCCAACAACTCGAAGATTGCCCTTCACCTGAAGCGGCACGATGTTCGCACTCGCACTCGACGGCATCAGGCGTTGAGGGACACAACAACTACAGTACTCACAACTCATAATATGACCGAACACAGCCACGTACTTGCTGCAAGATCCGGTGTCCAAGTGCAACTCACAGTGTGCGCCATTTGGAAGCCTACATGTGTGTTGCTTCCTGTTTCTACGAGCCAACGCCACCATGGTGTCTACGTGGATCTACTGTTACTGGCAGCCAGTCACAAGCCCGAGCTTCTGTACGATGGGCGACTGGTTCTCGAAAATCTTCGACCTCGTTTCCGGATGACTTCGGGATTAGGCCCCTCGCACACCCCCTGCCGTTACACAAACTCGTCTGGGCTAGAACGGGAGTTACGCCAAAAAGTGCTTCCCACGGGGCAACTCTCTGTGCATCTGGTGGAAAAACATGGAAAAACCGATGGTAAGGGTGGTAAGGGTGCGATGACTTCAATTTTAGACTTGCATTCTCCCCAACTGCATTCATAGCTGTCAATGTGCGAAACATCGATCGGCTGGTAGACAGGGCCCACAGCCAGGCCCAAGGGCAAGTTGGCTAATCCAGTAATCTCCGGTGCATCGGAGAAGAGCAGTCCTGAGATAGAATAAGATGATTTGGCATGATATAGTGACTAAACAATGGGTAGATATGTATTACAGTTCATGACTGACACCTGAACAGAAAGCAGCAAGCTTGCTCGAAGCCGCCATAATGCCTGCAAATCTGTCTGAAGCCTGCGACACGACCGGACTCTCGATGGATCTACACTCCAATACTGCTCACGCAAACACCGGGCGTCGCCATTTCCCACTCAGCTGCTGCAGTTTGGCAGGATCCTGGCAGGGGCTCGCCAGGCTCCATCGTAGAAAAGCAAGGTTTGCCCTGAGCCCTACATGTGATTCATGTGATCAGATGCTTCTCGGCCACGAATCCTGCAGAATGTTTTTCTGCCGGGCGAAACTCGCTTCCAGCCTGGTCATGACAGGAGCACGTACATCTGCCGGGAAAGGGAGAGAGAGGGACCGCGACTGAACTTGGCCCATTAACCCTTTCTAGGTTGTAGAGATGCAAGCGCGCTGAGACAGGCGCAAACACCAGAGTGCAAGCTTGGAGTTAGTTTTGTTCTTGCCAGGACTGAAGCTACTGACTAAGCCTGAAAGCTCGCATTGCTATCAGGTGGCGTCTCAGCCAGGCTCGTCAGCTCCTCAGTTGCACAACCCCGGACCAGGCAGTTCAGGGCTGAAACAGTTTAGGTCGCAATAAGGTTTGGTCAGGTCGTTCGGTCGTAACGGGGTTTAGGATTGGAGCTTCATGCTATGATTCTCGTCCACTCACGTGAGATGATCAAGAGACCAAGAGACCAACGATAAAGTAAAAAAGATGGAGTTGAGCAAACGACAGCAAGGATTGCTGAGCTGCTTTCCTACATCGCGTTCGCATTGGCGCTACTCGTAACAATGAAAGCCATTAGACGAAAAGTGCTTATGATATCGGCAGTAACGACTACCACTGCTGGGCGAGAACAGCAATGACATTCAGTGACACCTAACTACCTAGCAGTCCTAGCAGAGCCTATCATGCTAGCAACAGCAGCCAGCATCATCATAGCAATAATGATACTGCACATGAACGGTGAGCGTGCCTTTACCGCTGAACCCGAAGAAAAAATCAGCACTTTCTGTCAAGACTCTTTGGCCGTTGCTGGATCGAGGTTGACAGGCGTCAAAGGAGCTCCCGCAGCATCGAGACGAGCAAGGTCGACCTAAGTGCCTTACAGTTATCTGCGTTCCCAAAACCAGGCCGTGAAGATAGGTAGAGACCAGGATCCATGGTGATGGTGATGACAATCCTCACGATGCCTAGCGAGGGCTCTGAACTCGGAGCATGCCTGCTACTGTGTTGCCAGCCTGTGCAGCAGGAGCGTTGCTTGCCAGCGTGCTGTGCTATGAACAATTTGTTCACCCAAGTAACACAGGATGGATGGGGAGCAGCGAGACATGTACAAAGAGCGCGGTAAGCCCGTCATAATTAGTCAGTGCCGTGTGCTTTTTCCTATACATTCAAAATCTAGAAGCTAGCTACTCCGGAAGTGCCGAGCTGATAGATTTTGATCCTTATGCTAAGCCTGCTAAGCAAGGCCGTCGTTCACATGCTGGCCATGCCCATGCCAGGCTCTGGGCTCGCTTCTGGAGCTGCGCCAGCAAGAGATCCCGGGGCGCGTCGCCAGCCCAGGCCGGTGACGTGAACGAGGCGCCGATCCTCCGAAAGCTTAGGCCGTACAGCAAAGCCTTCTACGCCCACTGGCAACCAGCAAAAGCATCGCAAATCCTGCAAATTAGCCCGAAACAAGACTTCCTCCGGCCATGGCCGTTCAATCCTTGGCTGCTGAAGCCTTTATTGAAGCCTCTATCCAGCCTCTAACACTAAGATCTCTCTGAGCCCACTGAGCTCGGTCCAAGATGCATATTCAGGAGATGCCGCCTTCCCTTCTGAAATCGTCTGGCGCTTGTCTCCGGAAACACGTCTTGAAAAGCCAGGGGAGCCTGAATGCATCACACTCTCGTCACAACCTCGTTTGAGGCCCCATTGTCTGATTCTCGCTGTCCAATGCGTCTTCTATTCTTGTTGTGGTCTGTGCATATGTGTCCACATGTCCATGCACTGGCAGCGGCTTCTGAGGGGCTGACTTTGCCACTGGGCTTCTCTTCAGAGTCAAGGGGGCGGTGGCTCCACGCCAACCACCTCGAGGATGGGTTTTCTGAAAATTCCCACGAAGCCTGACTTCTGCCCTGGGTTCCCTGCACGAATATGCAGAGGGCCGAACGCTTCAGCCTATGGCGCATGTTATGTAATCAGCTGCTTCTGAACTCCTTAGCTGCCAATCTTCCGATCCCTTCTGATTCTACCGTTTTTTCATGTTACTGTAGCAATTAGCATCCTGGGCTGCTGGGCACTGGCCCTTGGGCCCGACATCGCTTCTGCAGGGTGTTGCCCCGGACATCAGCGGCTGAGACTATGGAATACGGTATACGCATTGCCAAAAGGACGTTTTCGCTGGCGGGTGCGCGTTCTGGCATGTGCCTTTGGCAGCATGCGGTGTCTTTGTGTCTGTTTCCACCGTGCTGATAACTTCGGCGCATGAGGGTCGTGAGCATTCAGGGCATTAGGAGGCACTACCTGAAGCTAGCAATAAACAACAAACAAGGCCAAAAAAGAAGTGGAATGAAAGCAACGAAAGCTACAATCTTCCGCGGGCTTGGCAGCATCTCAGGAGCTCCCAAATTGTGCTGAGAACATCCCATGGTCCACTCTCACATGTGTGACTCTTCACTCACTGCTTGAGTTGGCCATGGAGACGACAAAGCAAAGGTGCATCTCTTAAGTTGTACTTGTTTCCTCAGAGTCTGCATGTGCATTGCAGGTAGGTTTCTGTAGATTCCCGATGCTATGGCGCTGTAGTCCTTGAGCAGGCCTTGGAATCCTAGTATGACTCCGGCATCCTGTTATGCTTGCAATGCTTGCTGCATGCACGGGTGGACCATAGCTGCGGAGGTGAAGCTTGCTGGGGGTCGTTCCCCTCACAATGATCGGTGCCACTCGGCAGTAAGACTTGCAAACACAGGACTTTGCCTGAACTCTGTGATATGGCGCAGCCTGAGGAAGCACAGTTTCAGCCGCCGCTCGTCCATCTGGTGTTTAAAGCGTTTGGGCAGCGACTTTCATGTCGAGTGATTCCTCAGGTGGCCCCGTCTTGCATACACTGTGCCATAGAGCTGGCAGCCTATGATGACTACAGTAGTGGGGCTTGCAAGCTTTCCCGCATAGGACCGTAGGACCGCCGGACGTAGGATGCTACAGGGTCAACGGTAAGCCTTTGTGAGCCCTCTTCAAGTATTGACAGACGAGGAGTGTTGGTTCTTTTCGGGTGAGCATCGGGTCAAAGCAAACTTTGGCCACGAATTGTCGAACAATGCTGGCCACGAGTCAACCACCCCATGCTGGTCGTATATTTGTAAGCTCGCAAGCCCTCAAAGCAATTGCTCTAAATTTCGCAACTGTGAAGCACGGAACGCAGCTTGGATTCCCCAACAAGCCTGGAGCACTGAACGTCCACATCAGCCTCTGTTGCCATGACATTTGCACGTGGATGCAACATGAGAACGACCTGCATCACTCACCACTCTATCTGCGACATGCGTTCATAATGCCAGGCATTCTGCCTGCTGAACTGAATCAAGCTGCTTCGCAGATGTCACCGCAACAAACGGTTGTAATTGTCCTGCTCACAGGCGCGTTGTTCCCATCTGACAAACCTCAGAAGGAGGCCCTGTTGACTTTCAGCTTCAGATGAACTCTCCCACCTCTGGTTGCATGCTCTAGACAAGCCGTGACACGGAAGAAAACCACCTGCTTTTCGAATTCACATTCACTACATTCTTAGTGCACATGCAGACACGACTTTGAACTAAGCGCTGGTCCGATCTTCGGACCAGTAGCCGATACGGTAGTCGCCTTCCGCTGTGGTGTAGGCCTCATGTTTGTGCAGGCCAGTAAGGATTCCTTAATATGAACTCTTTTATGGGAACCCTACTCCCTACTAAACCCCCAAAAGGCTAAAAACCATTTTGGCCTCTTATGATCTTTGTCCGTTGTGCCTTTACTGCACGCTGGCCGCACGGCAAGACGCCGACGCCGCATCTACGCCGCCGGAAAAAAACTCATGTTCATCTGTTCTGTAATATGGATTTCCCGGGTACGTCAGACATTCCGACCGACTCGCACCTTTGATTGATGGAGCTGCTGCGCCGGTGAACACCTGTTTGGCTTAAGGCCTGCGCTGGCCTCGTAATGCCTCGCAGTGGATTAGGAACTCAATATAAGGAGTAATGAAAACTGTCTCACTGACTCGCGCCGGCACATGCAGGTTCCAAGCTGCAGCAGCAAAACTCAAACTCCACCCTAGGTACCCCGCGCCACGGCCATGTCTCTTGCCTTGCCTCGGCAATGCAAGTCGAAGACTGACAACAGCTCTTCTCGTAAGTAGGGCCTTAATATCTTCAATTTGGTTTGGGGTGCATGTATATGTATATGATCTACATTTAACACACAGGTTTTGCTGGATGAAACTCCTCACCAATCAAAGCCAAAGCCTCCGAGAATTAACGTCTCGGAAAAACGGTCCGATTCGCGAACCATATATCGCACGATGTCCTGGTACCGAGGTCGCGGCTGCCACTCTCCGTCGTAACAGCGACCATCGGCCCAGGTAAACTTGCCCATGCCGTGCTTCATGTCCTGATTTGCTCACGGCAAACCGAGCATGTCTCCTCAACCGCGTGTGCAAGCGAATGGGACTGCGGGGACGGCTACGCATCATCGAGCAATGCTGGGCGTCAGCACGCGGCATCTGCTCTAAAGATCATCAGCTGATGTCCCTTGAACACCAGGACCCCTCAACCTCCAACCCCAATGGAATCATCAGGGAAGCGCATGCGACGAGGCCCTTGCGTCGAGGTACTCGCCCTCGTAGCACATGCAGCCTCCCAGCTGCCAAACCACATGTGCGCGTGTGTGTAGTACATGTCAAAAGTATAATCTACATAAGACCTATTTCCGCAAGACCGGGAAGAGTATTATTTATGCTGACACAGTATTTTGGTTCAATCGGCTCCAGCACAGCGGTGCACCTTTGGGAGTCTTCCAGACCTCAGATGTTCATGAACAAGCCACTGGCTCTGCGCTCGGCTGAATGTTTCCGACTCCGTGTTCTTGCATGCATGTCCGCCTTCGCTTGTGTGGTCTCTCTGCAATGAAAGACTTATATACTGCCAAGCACGATCTGAAGCTGAAGCTACGATGCTGTGGCACCCACCATTTTGCCAATTCCGGAGAAGTGGCCCCTGTAGTATTGTCCCTCGTAGGACCGCCTGGACAGACATCACCCGTCTGGTTACCATGCCGGCATATCTGCCCCGCCAGTCCCAATTCGACAGAATCAAACGAAAGGTGAGCCAGCCCCAGTCCAAGAGAACCAGGCTAGCGCCACCCGTCGCTCCACGTCTGACGCCCAGTTCCATGCTGTTGGTCATTCTGCCTGTCATGGCGGCGAGCCGGTGAATGCATGCGCACTAAAGGCAGATGTGGCCCTTTGCACATGATTTCGCAATGCCATGCCAAATGTCAGCACACGGAACTGCGACGCGCATACTGGAGTAATCCGACTCAGAAAAGACTGTTGGACAGCCGCGCCATTCCCCGTCGTACATCTCCGTCTCATTTTTCCACACCTGGGAGATTCACACAGAAGCGATGTACGTCTCGTTCCCTGAGACGGCGGGCTCTCAGTATGCAGCCACGCCCCACATCGCCTTCAAGTCCTGAGTCTCGGGCCCCGGAACCATGCCGCTGGCCGTTCTGGAGCGCTCCGGTATAAGTGGAGCCGTCATCGTATGTCCTTGCAGCTCTTCGTATCGAGATGAAAGGGTGCTGCAGCTCGACATTTACACCTACACCTCGTTGCTGAAGCCCCGGCACAGTTTTTTCCTCCAGAGCACCGGTCAGCCTGGCAGCACGCTCAAACGGCAGATGCGTGCGCTGACATCTGCGTGAATGTATCAACGGTTAGTTATGCATGCATGCATAACCACGCATGCCTAGTTTTTCCTGCCTCCGTCCGTCCTCCCTTCAGTCCGTGCACTCATGCATGCACACACAAACATCCATGCATGCATTCCTTCATGATGCATTCATAAATGCGTACATACACACAATACACATGCATGCATAGTGTTGTGGTCGTCGTGAGCGTCGTCGTCGTGGCCGTCATGATGGTCGTTGTGGGGTCTACGCTCGCAGCTTGTATTATTGACTCACTGTGATCTGGATAACCTAGACCCTAGCATTTGACGCTAGCTTCAACAACCCGCCTCAACCCAACACCCTGCAGGCCCTGGTCGGCAACATGCAAATACTTGGCGGGAACACCCTCGTAGCAGACCGACTAGCACCTTCAGCAGCACGGACGGGCTTTGGGCGAATGTGCTCGCTCTAGCTCACATGCGAGGCTAAAAATCTGCATCTTATGTGCATGGGCCTTGCAAACCGATTATTGAGACGCTGATACACAACGATCCGCCTTCATGTCGGAGAAGACGCTTGATGCTTGACATGCTATCCATGTGAATGCTGCAATGAGACGACCGATCACACACATGCCGAGCGAAGCTGGCGCAGTGCAGTAGGCAGTAGGTGCCGCACGCCGACTTGCTGAGGAGTTGAGTTCGGCGTGGCCTCACGACATGCACGACTCTGCTTAATATTTCAGAAGAGGATGCTGTGGGAACCTATGTGTTGCATGGTTTTCTGTGCATGTTATAATTTTGTGAAGAGGTGAGCACCTACACGAAGATGACGGCGTCTGTGCTCGTGATAGCCGGTGATCGTGTTGCAACAGCAGAAAGCTAGCAGATGCTGGCAGCAGTCTTGGCTTCCGGCTAATCCCATATTCATGCTCATGGTGCCGACGCTTGCCACAGATGGAGACATGGGTGGCAGGTCCTCCGTGTTGAGAGTCACGGCTTTACCTCGCGGGGATATCCAGATGATATCTAGCAATTCACAAGCATCTTGAAACCAGAATGTAACTGGACCGAGAGGGAACTAAAACAAGGCCTCCTCTCGGAGTAGGCGTTGGCGATTGCCAAGCATGCATCTGTTTCACCTTTGGTCCAATATCTCGTGAAACACATGCCGGCATTGGCTCAGCCAGGTCCGCCTCTCGCGTTTCCACGAACTCTTCCGAACCAAGCAGCCCAGGGGAGCCTGGCAAGGCATGCCCTGCCGGGCCTACCGGATCGAGAGTTTGACTCGCAAAGATCAGTTCCAAGAGCCGCACAAGGAAGTCCACCATCTTTGGATGCTTCGCAAGAGTGGCCTGGCGCAGCAGCAACTTACAACCATCAGCGCCATTTATGGCACGTGAAACCCCGAATTCCCAAGACTCTCGCAAATGGAGCCACATCGCTCCACCACCACGGGCACCTGCAGCACCAAAGACCATCAAATGTCGCAGAACCGATTGCAAGCTTTTTTTGCTCACATGCACCGCATTGTGTTGACAGATGAGCCTGGTTGCCCATCGCCCGCAGCCAAAGGGCGAAAACCGATCCCGATCCATCACTCCATACTCACCACTTGAGCAAAAGAGCGACAGATACACATTGGAACTATAACCAGCTTTGTGTGATTTTGCGTGGTCACAAGTCAAAACAATGGCTGAAGATTGTTGAAGCTCATGTGTGGTTGACGATCGAGAAACTTGGTACAAGTACAAGACCTCCAGAAATAAATAAGTGTCCTGCACATTCCGGCAAACATGCTGGCAGTCACGGCAAAAAAAACTGCAAAATGCGGCCACCGTTAAGCTCGCACTACGGGTACAAGTAGCACCGATGCAGCTCGGGCACCATCCATGAACCATGCACATGTACACGGCGAAAACGGTGCAAAAACATGCAAAAAAAAAAAACTTTCTTGATTTTGTTGGCTCCACGGTTGAGTCAAACGCAAGGGGGGTAACTATTGGCTACGGCTACGGCTACCGGTGGCTAACGCACCGCCTCCATGCGCCTCCGGCCCCGTCTTGAGACGCATGGGCTGTTTCCTTCGGCTGTCCTGGTGGTGGTGGTTGCCCTCCGACCGCATCCCGAGAGCTACTGGTCTGCGAAGCTTCGGGGGCGAGGCAAAAACTGGGCGTGACCTGTCAAACACTGGTCAAACCCTGTTTGCCACGAAGAAGCACCCCAGCACGCACCCACCCAGGTTTGGCTTGTGCCCGGACATGCCCAAACTAACAACCGAATCGAGAATGAGAAAATTGACTGCCTGAGTTGCGAGGAATGGGTGTGGTGCATTATGGTGCGGAGCAAGCCAAGCCCACCGGAGCACAACGGCACAACCAGGCGGCAACTGCTGCATGTTGTCCATAGGCTTAGGGTTGCTCCTGCTGCTGCGGCGTGCTCGATGCGTATACGGAAACCATCGAGCTGCATGCTCAACATGAGGCGTGCTCGCCTCCCGAGCATTACCTCTCGAACGCGCCAGCGCGCGTGTCGGGCGCAACATCGCGCTTACCGCCATGAACGCCGATGATCATCCATGTGCCAGTCCACGACGCGCAGCTCATCGAAGTCGTCTGCAACGGCCTGGCGCATCGAGGCCGTTGCAGCCGCTTTGGCACGGCGCACAGCTGGCCGTTGACGCCACGCTCTTCAACCCGGTGAACCCGAAATGGCCGCTGGCATCACGGAGCTCTTCGCCTCCTTGCCCGGGCGCGCGCAGCAAGTGCCCTCTCCGCCCTAGCCGCATAGGCTCTCCGATCTAGCGGCCCAGTGGAGCGGCCTCATCTCCGTTGCGGCGCAACGGGCGCTCGCTGCCACTTCCGCGGGGCTCCCCCTCCAGTCGGACTGGCCCGCCACCAGCTCTGTACGAGCTCCTTGCACATGCTCGCTGGCAAGAGGCTCGTGTGGTGTGACTGCGCTATGCGTGAGGCGGCTCTTTGCTGTAGACTGTTGCCTGGGCTTTGGGTTGCACAGGGACCGAGCTGCTTTGGACGGTGGTAAGAAGGTCCGTGGAAAAAAATACGTCCTCGCGCTTGCGGAGCCGGGCGCGCCGACACCGCAGCGCTGGTACCCTCGAAAAAGAGGTGATGCTGCCAGTTATGCGGCCAGTCACGTTCACCCGCATCGCTGTTGTGCAGGGCCCGGTGCTTTCATAGCAGCACGAAACATGGGGCATGCGGGCCAAGCCCACCCTTCAAGTACCCTTCAGCCATGTCAACAGGTCGTGTACGGCCACGGCCTCGCGCAGGCCACAGACCAAGAATGGGGTTTCCGCTTCCTTCCAAAGCTACGAAGAAACTGTTTCTGGCCTTCGTGAAGCGGAGCTGTTGGGAAGGCCTTCCATGTATTCGCCACCACATTTGTTTTTCTCGGTTCGTGTCAGGTCAGCATGCGATCGCAACTACGAAACGTCCCGGTGTGAGCTGCGTGCTACGACTACCTCTACCGGCAGGGCCCAACGCAGTCAGCCTGAGGCCGTCAGCGCGCCTCAGCGAGGAGCTCGTGCAGCTCTGGCTCGGGCCCGCCCCGCAGGAGTCCCCCAGGTCACCGGCGGGAGGCAACTCAAGGAGAGAGGCGGCCAGGGCGCGCTGCGCGGCGACTGCGAGGAGGCCAGACCAACGCGCGACCCAGGCAGTGATCGCGGTGGGTCGCAGCATGGTGGGGACGGCGGCGACCCGGTGCCGCGCCAAAAGGGGCAGGAATTGCACAACTTCGGTGCAAAACCTGCCGCCAACCTCAGTACCAATGACGACGAGGCGGCATCTCCGGGCTCTGCCGAGTTCGGGGTACGTGCTGTGGCGCTTGCGCCGGGCAGCGGCTTGGACAGCGCAGCCCGGCTGCGTGTCTGCACGGGGGTGGGCTTCGCCCTGCCGCGTTAATGGGGGACACTATCGTGGCATCAAGGGCAAGCTGGGACCCGTGCCACAGCGGCAGGCCGTTGGCGACGACTTCGATGCGCCGCTCATCGGCGATGGGCGCATCGAGATTCATGTCGGCGAGTCGGACGTTGCGCGCGATTCTGGCACCTGCTTCTCGGCAAACACGGGCCACGGCATGCTCAAGGGGCAGTGCACGTGTTGACAGGACTCCGGAAGTGGCGCAGGCAGCGCGGTGATCACCTTGGGGGTCAAGGAGCCCGTGGCAGGCGCACCTGCGCGGCGCAAGCGGCAGGGGCATGCGCAAACGCCGCAGCAAAAGCACGCGGAACAGGGCGCTTGAGATGGTGACGTCGCTGTGCGTGGGCAGGACGTTGATGGCTCTGGCGGCAAAGGGCCCTGCTTGCGAAAGCAGCAGCGCACGGGACGCAGGGGAGAGTTGAGAAAGGTGCGTCTCGAACGCGCGCTCATCGCAGGATCGGGCAACAAGCCGCTGCCAGCCTTTAAACGGCCAGGGCCCGGAGTCCTCGCCGGGCCGACGCATCGTAGCCGGCCTGTTGCAGGTGTGTTAGCGCAGCAACTGCGGCGGCAGCGGAGGGGAGGGCGGCGTCGCCTCGCAGGGCTTGGAGGAGTCTTGCGGCAGCTGCCGGCGCCCGTGCAGTGATGACAGGAAGCGTGTCTTGCCAGGATGCCCAGTGTGCGGCACTGCTGTCAGCACGGGCGGAGCGGAGCCCGAGTCCTCCAAACCGCTGTGCTAGCTGGGCGGCGCGCAGGCTAGTAGCTGGGAAGGGTGTTTCCCCTTGCTCGAGCAGCTCGGCCAGGCAGCGGGCTACGGCAGCGTCATGCGCAGCAGCATAGTCAACTGTGAGGTGCGGCGGCAAAATGCGCAGCAGGTAGTTTGAGCGCGGGGCCGTGCAGCTTTGGAGGAGGAGCCAAGCGGCTTGGAGATCGTCAGGCAGCGGAATGCGGTCCAGAAGCCGGTCTTGGTCCTGGCGTTTGCGTTGCAGCTGGCGCGCGACGAAGTCGTCGTGGCCGAGCGAAGAACCCCAGCACGTTGAGGCCCTGGCAGTCAGAAGGGAGGCTCCAGTTGCCAAACAGGCTCACTGCCCCCGGCTGCGAGGTCAGCTGTGTTGGGCGGTTCTTGACCTGCGGCATTCCAAATTCGAGTTTTGCCCTCATGGAAGCGGATCCGCGCCCGGTTCCAGAGGGCTATAGAGGGCTGCAGCGAGCAGGTCGTACAGGAAATGCGCTCAAGCAGCGCTACGATGTAAACATCGTCGAGGAAGGCGAAAACGCCCCGTCGAGGAGCTGGCCTTGCAGGTCGTTGAGGGCCTCGTGTTGAGCTGATGCATAGAGGGCAGGCATTAGCGGGTCCCCTTGCTCCCCGCCCTAGCCTTGCAGCACCTCGTGGGCGTGACCGTCGTCATCAAACCACGTGTAGGTGCTGGGAGCGGCATAGAACTGCCGGGGCTGGAGCGCGGGGTTGCCAAGCAAGGCCTGGAGCATGGAACCACGGGCAACATGGTCAAAGGCGCCGATGGCATCAACTGAGAGGACGGTGGCACGCGGGCTCGCTTCGGTGGCTGCACGGAGCAGTCGGCTCACCGCCTCTGTGCCGACGCGGGTGCTGAGGCCGTATTGGTACGGCATAGCGGCAACGGCATTTGGCAAGGGCAAGCGAAGTCTGCGCAAAAGGGTTGTTCGGAAGAGCGGCGACTCCAACGAGAACTCCGGCAACGTGGGACGGGTGGTGAGAACGCGCGCAGCATGAGGCCCAGCCCGCGAGTCGAGCATGGCGGCCGAGGCAGCGGTCCCCTTGCTCGCCACCCTCAGCTTGGGGGAGTCGGTGGGAGTGGTCGCCTGCGGCCCAAACGTAACACGACTCCCGAGCATACCACAAACGAGCAAAAAACAGGACTGGTAGCGTGCCGGGTGCGTCATGCAGTGCTGTAGTTAGGATAGCTTCCCGGTTTTTTATTTCGTATGCAGCTGCAGCATCAACTGACAAGAGCGTCAAGCTCGGGTCAGCCTGAGTGCGCGCCTGCAGGGTATGCACTAGCGCTTCGGCACCGGCCCGCGTAAAGAGAGCATTCTGGGGGTTGCAGGCGGCTTCGAAGTTGGAGGCAAACTGCAGCAGAAGACAGGCGCCGCCTCGACCTCGTCGTGTACGGCGCGACACGCAGTGGCGGAGCCTTGTGTTGCGACGCTACGCTCGTGTCTCCCTTGACGGAGCAGCACTCAAGGTAGCCGAACGCCGGAAGCTCACTACCTACCCGGAGCCTTCCCGCGGCGGGCCACAACAGCTCGTCGTGTTGGGTTCGGAGGTGGGCGGACGCTGGAACGAGCAGGCTCGCACTTTCGTGCGGGACCTCGTCCGGTTGAAAGCTCACCGGGCCCCGCCCACACTCCGCGCAGCGGCGTCAGGTGCTCGGGCGAGGCGCTGGTGGGGCATGTTGTCCGTGGCGGTGCAGCAGGCCGTCGCCAGCACAGCCTTGGGCGGCTGGGTGCACCCCCTGCACCCCGAAGCCTGCGATGGCCCACCGCTGGACACCCTGCTCCACCATGAGGCCCCCGCTGGCCAGAGCCGCCTGCCGTTGAGGCCCTGAAAAGGGGCGTAGCGTCGTCTGTCCTCTGTCGGGTAGC